ATCTAATATATACAGTATGAGGATTGGCTTTAGAGCATATTTTATCGAGCCAGCAGGTGTCACCGGCACTGCCTCTGGATGTTGAGAAACATTGAACCAGTCCGGCCCTCGGCTCGTAGCAAACATTTTTTTTTGGCCCTCTGATGTATTTGACTTTGACATGCCTGTCTTAGAATGTACCTGGAAATATGCGGTTCAAGTTTTCAATGCAATTATCTGCAAAATACAAATCAGAAAGTATCTAATACCAGCAAAGGACCTCACTGTACAAAAATAATGGCAAGACCAGAAAAAAAAATTCTTTCAATGAAGCAACACAATCATGAAGCGATGTCTTGAAGTGCTCTCGGACTGAGCTTTGTTCCCTGGATGGATGTGGATCTGGCCTGTGTCCTCGTTGTCCTTGGATATTCAGCCTGAAGATGAGAGGCTACACTGGGGATCAAACCACAGACACTTAATACACACTCCCAACCCTGCCCTGCCCTCTCGCAGACTCACCTCATCTCCTCTTATTCAAACCAGGGAAAGGCTATGTGGTTTATAACAGGTGGTCTGCACAGTCTGCAAAGAGACAACAGCATAGAAGTTTAAAATGGTTTAGTGCTTTCCCAGTTTGTCAGTGTGGACTATGCTAAAATAAATTAAGTGTTTCCTATTGGTCTAATTTAGCCTTGTGATGCTAAAGTTACATCTCGTGACTTTTCTGTAGAATGCAAATTTTGGAACAGTAATTGTAAAGGAAATTGCTGTCATCGTGTATAAACAAACTTTTGTACCAAGTGTAATTGTACCATCAAAACCCCCAACCAACACCATCCTTTCACTTACTCATTACATTCAGATTGCGCATGTTTTAGTAATAGGGGAAACAGAAGTAAGTAAATTGCGTCCACATATTGGCAAGTTATCATGTGTATTGCAAGAGCTAATAAAGCAAAACCAAGCCAGAGGGACAACTGCTGTAATTGGTCACCACTGGTCAACGTCACATCAACGTTGATGTGGTCAACGTTTTAACGTAACGTTGGACAAAGCTTTGTAAATAACACAATGAGCTCTGAGTAGGCCAATACTAATAAAGGTTATATGTTTACCTTAAGTCTGGATTCATATCACATTCTAAAGTAACTAATAATTGATTTCCATAAACTAAACTTGACTCTCACCGGGCGGCACGGTGGCTGAGTGGATAGCACTCTCGCCTCTCAGCAAGAAGGTCCTGGGTTCGAATCCCGGCCGGACCAGGGCCTTTCTGAGTGGAGTTTGCATGTTCTCCCCGTGTCTGCGTAGGTTTCCTCCGGGTACTCCGGTTTCCCCTACCACTAAAAATATGTACAATAGGTCTGGCATGTGCCTCCTGTTCGGCGACCCCGCTCCCATCTCTGTGTGGAGTGAGAGGACAAATGCCCAAAAAAATAACAATTGTAAACCGCTTTGTGACTCTGGTCTGTGAAAGGCGGTATATAAATAAAGCTTACTTACTTACTTACTTACTTACTCTATGGGCGGCTTATAGCGTGACAACAACAGTACATTTGTAAAATAAAACTGGCTTTTCCCTGTGCTTGTAGATGCATCGGCTGGTCTTGTCTAAGTAGAATTCGTTTGACGTTGGTCCATCAATCAATCAATCAATCAACGTTTATTTGTAGAGCGCCTTTCCTACACAAGGCAACGCAAAGCACCTCACAACCCATATCACATCATGCATAAATCAAACATTAGAATCTACATAAACATAAAAAAAAACACATTAAGAGCACAAGATATATTAAAAACATTAAAAATAAAATCACACAAGTTAAAATCACACATGGGATTAAAATCATAAATTGTCATAGTGCATTAAAAAGATTAAAGATAAAAACAAAGATAAAATCCTTCAGTTGTATGCACAGCTAAGCAGAACTGTTTTCAGCCTAGATTTGAAAACTGCCAGAGTAGACGCCTGTCTCACATTCTCAGGAAGACGGTTCCAGACTCTAGCAGCTTGAATCTGAGACGCAGTTTCCCCATGTCTAGTACCGACTCTTGGCACCAGCTGAAGTCCAGTCCCTGTGCTCCCCAGAGTCCGGGTCGGTTCATATGGCACCAACATGTCACGGATGTACCCCGGTGCGAGGCCATGGAGAGACTTGTACACAAGTAAAGCTGCTTTGAAGTCTATTCTCTGAGCCACAGGAAGCCAGTGCAGAGACCTGAGAACTGGACTAATGTGGTCATACTTCCTGGTTCTAGTCAGGAATTAGTTTAGTTTATTCACAATTCACACAGTCCCTAAAAGTACATGTGTTACATTGTGAAAAAATGTAACAGGCTGCTGCATTTTGAACAGGTCTACAATGACTTGTAGACCTGTGAACAGGCCATTGCAGTCTAACCTACTGGAGACAATTATTGCATGGATAGTCTCCAAGTCTGCCTTAGACACTATGTTTTTAATTTTAGCAATGTTTTTAGGTGGTAAAAAGCTGCTGATAGCGTTACAGATTTAATGTTGCTATTGCACTTTAAGTCTGAGTCCATTATTACTCCTAGATTTCTGACCTGATTTGAGGGTTTTAGGGAGAGAGACTGTAGGTGACAGATGACACTCTCTCTTTGTTTCTTTGTATCCGATTTGCTGGATACAGTGAAGGAGCGAGTCCACTGGTTCATGTTCTCCTGCTGTCAGGGACACATAGACCTGAGTATCGTCAGCGCAATTGTGATACTGTGTATTAACCTACCTAAAGGCAACATGTAAATATTAAACAGAAGAGGCCCCAGGATTGACCCCTGTGGTACTCCGCAGGTCGGGTCCAAGTGGTCTGAGGCACAGTTTTTGATCTCCACAAAATACTTTCTGTCTTGTAAATAGGACCTAAACCAACTTAGGGTGGTGCCAGCAACACCAACCCAGTCCTCTAGTCTCTGAATGAGGATACCATGATCGACAGCGTCAAATGCAGCACTTAAATCTAACATGCCAGCGTTAACAGAGTATGGCTCCAGTTATTCCAAACATACTGGTTTGCTTGAGTCTTTTTCAATCTCATTAAATTGAACTAGGCAAATTATTATAATTATTATATTTCTTATTATATCTTATTCAGACATAATTAGTGACTGAAATAATCTAGGATAAATGATATCAATCAATCAATCAATCTTTATTTATAGGGCGCTTTTCCTGCACAGGGCAACACAAAGCGCCTCACAGTCCACACCACACAATGCACAAATCATCACCATTAAAATACAATTAAAAACACATATGTAATTAAAAAGCATTAAAATCACATAAGTAATTTAAAAACATAAAAATCACACAAGTAATTAAAAACAATAAAATAGTTAAAAACACAAAAAGTTACAACAATAAATAACAAGGTGTGTTAAAAAGATAAAATTCTCTAGTTGTATGCACGGGAAAAAAGAAAAGTCTTTAACATGGATTTGAACATTGACAGAGAGGCAGCCAGTCTCACATCCTCAGGAAGACCGTTCCAGACTCCAGCTGCATAAATCTGAAAAGCAGCCTCCCCCTGTCTAGTCCTGACTCTGGGCACTAACAGGAGTCCCGTCCCTGCGCTCCTCAGAGTCCGGGCTGGTTCACAACATATGTATGTTTGTAGAAAGTGGATATTGCTTGATTTTCTCAAGTAAACCCAGAGGCTTGATACATATTGGCATCATATTTTTGTACAATTAGCACAAGCTCCTATGATCTTGGATTTCCATGAAACTTTATTATTGGCGATATCGGTGTTCTCATGTGCTGCTATATTTTATTGATGCATTCACATTTGAGTGAACCACGTATTTCCTTCTCTGCCCTTGTCTGAGCAAATATTATATGCTTTGAACAGAGGGGCTTTCAAATCAGTAAGAACTCATCTACATTAAATTCATGAATAGGCAATGTGCTAATGTCCATTATTTTTGTAGGGCCATTTGCACATAACCATCTAGATAACTTGAGCTTAAGTAGTGTTTGAAGTGCCTCTTTCCTCCTCTCTTCATTATCGACCGGTTCAGGATGTTTACCTGATTTGTCTCCTGCAGGGTTTGAAAGAGCAGAGTGTTTATGATTCAATGGACACAAAAAGTTAAGAGAATGTTGCTTCTTCTGAACAATACAAACTCAATTAGGATCGACGTCTTAGCGCCCATTTGCCTCAAAAAGCATCTTTAAAAATAGTCTTGATTGAGTAAAGTGTCCAGGAGTGGCCTATAGCTGATGTGAAACTCTAACTCAAGACTGTTAATGGCTTGTGATCTGTCATTACCCGCGCACTGTTGTGTCACTGGACTGGAATTTCAATGACAAAGGAATGGAAAAAAGAATACAGGGTGAAATTGTAAACAGCACTGCACCGGGGCTAGCTTACACTGCCATCTCCAGGCCACAATGATTCAACCCAGCAACATACACACAGTTTTCCCAAGACGCTGCTTCTTGTAATAGAAATAATTAGAAGATTCCAATTCAAAATAAGTTTTAAGATACTCCTCGTATGAAAGAAGTTCCTGCACATTTTGATATTTTCAAATATTACTCAATAAATAGTTATGAAATTAAAATATTGGTAGGTGAAACTAGCAACATTAAAACAGTTCTGATAGAATCCTGCGTGTCCGGAGTGTGAGGTTATCAGAGAACTTATAATGTAATTTTGAACTTCCTTTGCAACCTGTTTCCCGATGGTGTTTCTTGGCGCAAAAATGTGTGCTTCAGGTCTTGTCAAAAGCTAAAATTAGAAAAATAATGAAAACCGTTCTGCTGTTTTTTACTGTATTAAAAATATCCCAAACTAATAATATATGCAAATGGGGTCTGATTTCACATATCTAATTTGAAACACACTAGCCAATTTTGTTCACCATTTGTCAGTGACCTCCGCTGATTCTCCTTCACACAGACAGCCCTCCTCTCCTCCCCCCGTGTTAGAAATTTTAATCAGTTTGGAGAGGAACAGTTGCTCAGGTAACGTCTAAATATGGTGGTATTTCAATTAGTCTGGTGTCTGGCTGGAGGCAAAAGTCTGCCACAGAGACTGAGAACGACAAAGTTAACATGTTTTTATTGTACATTTGTGAATACTTACTGCCTATTTGTTCGTCATGTTCAGATCATGGTGTCTTAGGGGATGAAAAATATGTTACTGGAAAATGCGATGAAAATGCACATAAGACTGGAGGAGGGCTGCAGTCCTACTCCGGTCGTAGTCAAGATTAAATAAATAAAAAGCAACTAAATGATTATTGAAGTAGCGGTCAACTAATTTTGTAGCAGATGACAAAACATGCTGAGAAGAGGTTTTATGACACTGGCACTGCTATAATTAAAATAGTTAACATGTAACAGCTGCGTTATACAGCCTGTAGTGTGAGAGCGGTAATTAGTGCAGAAGATGATTGTATTATTTGGATTAGTTGGTTCAAAGTGGAGGGAGGCAGGTGAGCGGATCCGGCCCGCAGCTGCACTTAAACCAGTCAAATGGAACCGCAGACGAGAAACAGGGCCAAAGGGTCAATGCGGGGAGAAGGTGAGAGAAATTACGCAAAGATGTGCCAAACATGAGAGGACGGGAATTTTAGAGGAAGTTTGTGTGTTCAAGTGATAATGGGATGCGTTCAGTCATAATTCAATGGGATCCTCAAGAAGCACTGGTTTGTGAGAAAAGTGTATTCTTGTGTTAAAAAGGACAAAAACAAAAGAAAACAAATTCAACATTGTTTTTAAATTTGTGGCTCTAACACTCTCGTATCTCAGAAAGAAGGTCCTGGGTTTGAATCCCGGCCGGAACAGTGCCTTTCTGAGTGGAGTTTGAATGTTCTCAATGTGTCTGCGTAGGTTTCCTCCGGGTGCTCCGATGACCCCTACCTCTAAAAACATGCACAATAGGAATGGCATGCGCCTCCTGTATGGTGACTTTGCTCCCATCTCTATGTGGAGAGAGAGACAAATGCCCCACAACAATTCTAAAGGGCTTTGTGAATATAAAAATAAATATTACTTAGTGTTTAGTAGGTGTTTAGTATTTTGATAACGATAGTATTGCGATATTTTTGTCTTTCACCTACAATTGCTATCTGCATTATTTTCTGCAAATAACAGAAAATAATTACAGCATTAATGACTTTCAAATGCATATATTTATATACTTTTTTGTTTGTTTATTGGTTTGTTGTTCTTTTTGAATGTTGATGTGTCTGTTTTGTTGTATTTAATAAAGATTTTTTTTTTTATAAAAAAAAAAAGTTTTATTTTTCATCGTTTATCTTTTTTATATGGAAATTGCACGCACCAAAATCGCAATAACAATATTTTTTTGATATGTCGTGCAGCCCTACTTACATAATTAAATGTACTGAAGAAGTATGAGGAGGAAAGAGAGTGATGGCCTCAGCGAGTAATGTGAGGGAGGGGTATAGTCAGGGAATGTTTTCATGACCTGTCTCAGTGAGTGTGTGTGTATTGTATTGTATTGTATTGTATTGTATTGTAGGATATATCTTATGTCTACGAAATACACATGGCCTTTGTAATATTCTAGTCCCACACGGTGGCAAACTACTGCTCAAAGGTCACTTCTATCACTCTACTAGGAATCAGGAAGGTGTGATCAGATGCACCACAAAGCCGAAAGGGCACTGGACATTTCTCTCCTTTGTCTTAGCGATGCACCGACAGCTTTAACAGTTTGGTTTCATGTTGACAAGGAACAAGACACGAGTGACCACAATGTCCTAGACTGCTACATGGACAGTACATTTGCATGAGTCAAGCTGTGTTTATCCAATCCCAACAATGGATCAATACTTCTCTGACAAGATTGGTATTAGTCATGGGATCAATACTTGGTTTTAGCTTTTGGTGCACTCCATTGCAATCAGTGTCTGTAGATACATTGTGTGAATGCTCCACGGTTTAATTGCTCATTTGTATCATTTTAGCCCATTATCTCTCTCTCTTGGTGCTATATCTGACCACACCTTAACAGTCATTTTGTACCTGTTTGGACTGAAATGTTGGTAGGACATCCACATGATGCATGTACAGTGACGATGCAAAACAGTTTACGAAATGAGCATAAAATGATCAAGTTACACCGTAAAACCCAACTGAATTAATGGAATATTTATGTTGTAAGTTTCCAAAGGTGTGAAGTGTTAAGTATCTAGAACCAATACTTTAGTACTTGATACTCTTGAACAAGTATTGACAATAAAAGCAATGACATAAAGCAAGCAAATTTGTAAATTTCTTGAACGTCTTCATCAATGACTTAAAAAAAAGAACCTAATTGACCCGAGAAAAGTGTTAATTAATTTTAAAGGGGACATATCATGAAAAATCCACTTTTTGTGTCTTAAATGCCTGATGTTGTGTAGTTGGAGCCTCTAGAAGTGCAAAAAAGTTGAAATCAGTCTCTTCATGGGTTGCAGAGAACACTTCATATTCTGTTTAGGTAAGATTTTTCAACCCGTTTTGATTTTGCCATTCTCTATTACGTGTTTAGAATTATTACGTCACAGTATTTGCAGCGAGACTGCCATATAAGGGCATGGGCGTCTAACAAAACACTTCGGCCCAGCCCTCCTCTACTGTGCATCACTTCGAATTTGTAGTCCAAGCTCAAGGATGCCAGCGAACAGGGCTGGACTGGCCATCGGGCGTACCGGGCAATGCCCATATTTGGGCCGGTCTGTCTGCCTTATACAAAACACATGTTTATGAGAAGTGTAAATCCGTTGAGAATTGTTCGAGCAGGCGCATATCCGCGGGGCACCTGCTGTATGTACTCGAACGGGATTCCGCCACCTCAGCGGCCGCAGTGTTCCGGGGCATCTGCGGCCGCTTTGTAATGAGCAGCTTCCGCGTCCAGCGGCTGCAAGCGGCTGTGAGCGTCCAGCCGCTCGCAGCCGCTCCACCGCGTTGTGGCTGAGCGCGCAGCCTCAACGTGGCCATGTACCCAACCCCATAAACGCGCACAGGACCATGCGTGTCTTTGAGTAATCTGTGCACCCAATAAATACACTGCTGCAGGAAACAGTCCGCGTCTCCCCCCTCCTCTCGAAGCACGATTAAACGCCCTAAATAAAGCTCTGAGCCCAAAAGTAATATGTTGTGAACAAATTAAACAGATTTAGAGCCAGCAAATGGCTGACAATATGCATTTCAGTCTTTTTTTACTAATTCTCATCCCTGTAACAAACAATAGTATTGTCTGTGCCCACCTCCCTCACTCTGAGACATGTTCATTACTCTCTTGTAATGTAGACTATTGCATTTCATTTTATTGTTGAAACTGCACATATCCTGATCCTCTACAGTATTTGCTTCCACATACTGTATAAACTAGGAGTCGGCAACCTGCGGCTCCGGAGGCGCATGCATCTTTTTCTCTGTTCTTAACGTTTTTAAATGCTGTAAAATTGTGCATAAGTAATATTCAATTTAAACATTCCTGTCAACGTAGTGCGTCTTATCCTGCGACGTAGGCCCGCGCCAGGCGGCCGCTGTTGTAAACAAACCGGCATGTGAGCTCTGCTTGTGTACAAGTCTCTCCATGGCCTTGCTCCAAAATATATTAGTGACACTCTGAGGACTCTGAGGAGCACAGGGACTGGACCCCTGCTGGGACTCTGAGGAGCACAGGGACTGGACTCCTGCTGGGACTCTGAGGAGCACAGGGACTGGACTCCTGTTAGTGCCCAGAGTCAGGACTAAACATGGGGAGGCTGCTTTTCAGATTCATGCAGCTAAAATCTGGAACAGTCTTCCTGAAGATGTGAGACAGGCCTCTTCTCTGACAATGTTTAAAACCAGGTTAAAAACAGTTCTGTTTAGCTGTGCTACAACTGAGGGATTTTATATTTTTATCTTTCTTTTTAATGTTCTGTGATTTAATGCTTTCTTATTTTGTTCAGCACTTTGAATTGCCTTGTGTATGAGTTGTGCTATATAAATAAACTTGCCTTTCCTTGCCTTGAATGTGCGCATGGATCCCAAAGCTAAAAAGAGAAGAGTCGATAATAAGACTGGACTAAGAATGAAAATTAACATTTGCTTTCAGTCAATGAGGAAGTCATGTATGAGAAGTTTCTATGAGATAATTTTATCTGTGCTTAGAAACTACAAAAATGGCCGCTCGGGGTGGAGTTTAACCTGTGTCACCTGGATGGGGGCGTGGTCAAAAGCGCCTCATTTGCATTTAAAGAGACAGCACCAAAACAGGTTGCTCTCAGACGCACCTCAGAACAGGTGTAGAAGAAAGGCCCGTGGAGCTACAAATAATGAGACTCAGACCCAGGCATTGCAGTTACGCTTTATATAGACCACAAATGAATGATTTAGATGTAAAAATCAATTATTTGAAAACACGATATGTCCACTTTAATTAACACAATTTTCAGTTAAAAATGTCACCAAAAAGAGCATTTATAATTTATCCCTGCACTATCAAAAATGGCATCGAGTCGCATTTATGTTTTTTATAGTATCAACATTTAGTTTGAAATCTAGTATTGTGACACCAGTATGGAGAAATGTCAAAATATTGTGTATGTCTCTAACTTGAATGGATCTGGTGTTTAATTTAAATACAATTTTACCAGATTATTTCAGGATTAATTGCCTTTTCTTAAACAACTTCTCGCTTATACATAATACATTTAATTATTGTCAAATGTGTTACTGTACTGCATAAGAAAATAGGACAAAGTGCAGTTTATATGTAGTAAAGTACTTGTTTGTTGGGTTTTACGGCGCAGTGTCCCCCTGTGACTGACCTGTTCGGGAAGGTTGGCGTTGGACAGTGGGATGACCATCCAGATGATGTTGAGGTTGTTGAGTGCAGCGCTGGTGGTGAAGGAGCAGTGCAGGACGGCCGTTTGGCCCCGCGCCACCTGGATACTGTTCTGGGCCACCGTCACCTCCAGAGCAGCCACACACACTGCAGACACAGAGGAGACGCATTGATCAGACGGAGAGGGACAAACTGATAACAGGCAAGGAGACACGTTCTAATGGACCCCAGATGAACCACTGCCTTCTATAGGAGCTACAAGGTCAGACAAAAAAAAAGCATGAAAAATGTAGAAATATGGATAGTAATGAGGCACAACAATCTTGGATATGAATCGAAATATTTGACACAATGGAGGTTAAGTGGTGTTGTGGTAATTACAAGCCTGATGCATCAGCTGGTTTCATTTCACTTGTGGAAACTGTCGGAAATCACAACATTATGAATTATTTGTTCCGCAGCGCTCGGGTATCTTTCTTCTTTAACAAATCGCTGCTGTTTGGTTGTGATGTACTGTATTTAGAAACTCTCCAAAATACCTATTTTTTCTGACTTTAAATTCCCAGAGATCTTTTCAAACACAGAATGCTTGGTTTATACCTATCTCCATAGCTTTTTTTTGGACTGTTTTGTCGGACTATAAACAAACACTGATCGGCCAAATGTCCTTCCACCGCTTCGAGAATCATTAAGTATCATTAAATACAAAAGTTTTGATAGCTTTTCTTTTCAATTAAAAAGAAATCAGTGACACAGTTGTAGTTCTTGTGGTCATTATTTACCACATACAGAAGCTGATCAGAACAAAGTAAACATTGTTATTTCTTAGCATTCCATTGAGAAAAAAAGTATGTAGTTTGACTTTAGTATAGTTGATATCAGAAGTTTGGTTTGTGGTTTCTGTATCTTGTTATAGGTAAGATGTATCTTCTAAAGTATTTTTTGCTCAACTTTTTTTGAAGTATTAAAATCTTGTTTTCTAAAAAAAATGAAATCACTAAAATACATGTCATAATAGGCTTTGATCCTGATGTTCACTCTTTAGACAGCAGAGATATGAACCCTGAGCCTTTTGGTTGTTTTTTTTCCCTGCATTCAGATGTGTCTTTAATGAAATGTCTAATTTCTAATTGCACAACTAAAACACTGATGCTGACATAAATTGGATGTGTGTGTACAATATTATCAGTATTCAAGTCAGCTTAACAGCTTTCAGCATCTTTGGTCGGATGGCACCTAATTTAAGAGACCACTTGAAAAGCACTGCATAGACAGCCAAATCACATATTTTCCACCAACATGACAAAATAAAATATATGTTTTTGTCTATGCGCAGCAAACACTCTATGACAGGCAATGAAGCAAAGACAGGAAAATACTGCCGGAAAACATCCCAATTACATTGAAATCTTTTGCAATGCCACAGTATGCTTTGGAAATTATGCCAAATAAAATAAATGTACTGTCACTTCTACACTTCGTGTTGATGGCAAAAAATGCAATATTTACTATTCATAAAAAGAAAACAAACAAAAAACACACTTTGGAGGATCACATGCAAATTATACAGGCATAGTAAACTCTCCCCTGAGAAAATCATTTCCTAAAACAACTCCTCTTCTTTAATCATTAATGAGACAACACACAAATAGGGAAAGTCAGCTATTTTTTTCCCCCTTTTTTAAATCTCAATTAGACCCAAAACCTTGTGAATATTATGAAAGTCAGTACTGGATTGTATAATCCAAATACAATGATCTGCACTGACAAATTTACTTTGAAGAGTTATTACTTTGAAGACAGTTATTAAAGGAGCGGTATGTAAAAATCTGGCCAAAAGTGGTACTGCAGTCACAGTCAATATTTTGTAGTCCTCTCCCACTCTCCCTGACTCAGGTTGCCAGATACACACCAAATCCAGCAGCAAACACAGGGAATTATTTTATCAGTTGTTTGTCTGTCTCCATTCACATTGCCATGAGCCGTGATAATGTTGATTGAATGTTTTGAATGAATGTTTTTTTGTCTTTTTTATTTGGACATTTGAGATGAGAAAAACAAAATAAAAGCAATTTAAATAATACATAGATTGTGCAAAATAATTAAGCAATTTATGTCCAAAATAGGAGTGGGAAGATTGGATGTTGGAACGTATTTATTCAGCGTATCAACATCAGGGTTTCCTCCAGAGGATATCACCTTTCAATTTTGTTTATTCCCTATTTTTTAGACAAACATGTATAAATAGAGGCTAACATTATTTTAATTGGGGTACATGTGGTCTCAAATTATTCTTTTTACAAATAAACTATAATCTGCAAAAAACGTCTTGATTATTGTCTTTTACCTGATTTTGAGCAATCTATCATAAAATATAATATTATGCAATCAAACACAAGTAGTCCAGGCTCAAACCCGGGTTGCTGGATAATAGGCGTAGTAGCTTAACCAGTAGGCCACCGTTACACACAATGAATTGAGGAGGAAAACGGTGTAAATCCATCAAGCTTTGCATCACACAAAAACTTTTATCCGCTGTCTCAATTTTTCAAAGGCGTCCCGATATAAATCCTCGTTTTAGTCTTTCTTTTGTCATTAATGATTTGAGAATCATTCCATTCCATCTTCTTCCGCTTCATCCGTTGCCGGGTCGCGGGGGCAGCAGTCTAAGCAGAGACGCCCAGACTTCCCTATCCACACACAGTTCCTCCAGCTCGTCCGGGGGGGACCCCAAGGCGTTCCCAGGCCAGCTGAGAGACATAGTCCCTCCAGCGTGTCCTGGGTCTTCCCCGGGGCCTCCTCCCGGTGGGACGTGCCCGGAACACCTCCCCAGGGAGGCGTCCAGGAGGCATCCGGAACAGATGCCCGAGCCACCTCAACTGGTTCCTCTCGACGTGAAGAAGCAGCGGCTCTACTCCAAGCTCCTCCCGTGTGACTGAGCTCCTCACCCTATCTCTAAGGGAGCGCCCAGCCACTCTGCAGAGGAAGCTCATTTCGACCGCTTGTATCCGCAATCTCGTTCTTTCGGTCATTACCCAAAGCTCATGACCATAGGTGAGGGAGGGAACGAAGATTGACCGGTAAATCGAGAGCTTCGCCTTTCGGCTCAGCTCCCTCTTTACCACAACGGTCCGATACAGCGACCGCATCACTGCGCACGCTGCACCGATCCGCCTGTCAATCTCACGCTCCATCCTTCCCTCACTCGTGAACAAGACCCCGAGATACTTGAACTCCTCCACTTGAGGAAGGACCTCTCCACCCACCCGGAGAGGACAAGGCACCTTTTTCCGGTCGAGCACCATGGCCTCAGATTTGGAGGTGCTGATTCTCATCCCAGCGGCTTCACACTCGGCTGCAAACCGTCCCAGTGCATGCTGCAGGTCCTGGTTCGTTGGAGCCAACAGGACGACATCATCCGCAAACAGCAGAGATGAAATCCTGTGGTCCCCGAACCGGACCCCCTCCGACCCCTGGCTGCGCCTAGATATTCTGCCCATGAACACAGTGAACAGAACCGGTGACAAGGGGCAGCCTTGGCGGAGGCCAACATGCACCGGGAACAGGTCTGACTTACTGCCGGCAATGCGAACACAGCTCTGGCTCCGGTCATACAGGGATCGAACGGCCCTCAGCAGAGGATCCCGGACCCCATACTCCCGGAGAACCCCCCAAAGTACACCCCGGGGAACACGGTCGAACGCCTTCTCCAAATCCACAAAGCACATGTGGACAGGTTGGGCGAACTCCCATGAACCCTCGAGTATCCGATGGAGAGTATAGAGCTGGTCCAGTGTTCCGCGACTGGGACGAAAACCACACTGATTTGAGAATCATAACAAAACCTTTTTTAGTTCTGCGGCCACATGTTATTTTACCAGTGAGATTAACTAGCCATGCGGAGTTCTGGCAACACGGATGACTCACTTCCTGATTGGCGAAACAGCGGCGGGTGGGACATCGAAATCATAACAATAACAACTTTTACGGGTCGTAAAACTAATTTTGATATTCAAATATCTCGGATGAACTACTGTTATCGGTTAAAGATGTATTCGAAAAGAGAATGATTTAATAACGCCTTTTGAAATATGGAGGCCATTTAATTATGACTTGACATGCAAATATTACATATTGCTACTTTAAATCTTTAGAGTTATTGATCTGTTGTTGTGAAACAGACAAAAGGTGGAGCCTTGATAAGAGATAGAAGACTACTAAAATCACTAACAGAGATAGATAAATGAAAGTATGTTAGAAAAATGTCAGGAAACGTTTGGAAAGCCAGGTCCTTGCAGTAATAATAATGGTTTTATATGGCGCTTTTTTGGACACTCAAAGATGCTTCACAGGCCATTATTCATTCACTCCATACACAATGGTGATATACTACTGCTGTAGCCAGAGCTACCCATATCGTTGCCATTTACTTTTTCTTGGAAATGAGGCGGAACACAACAACAGTTTGGTAGTTTACATCCACAGCCGCCCCACTGTGGCTTCAGAGGTCTGACAGGACCTGGTCACATGCAGGTGGCCCCACTGTAGTAAGTGTCTAAAGGTTAACATGTTACAGAAACTTGAATACATGTTAGTAAGAATAAAGCAAACAAAATGCTTCACAATTACAATCAGTTCTATAAAAGTGTATTTGTGTATTTTTCCTTTACAAAAAGAATGTCCACGCCCAATAAAGCCCAAGCACCTCATCTGTACACGGCTGTCAGGTATAACAGACCCACAAAGATAAATGTATCCATGCTGTATCCTATTTCGAGACCAGCTAAAGACATTATGCTTCAAATTAAGTTAGATCTTCCCCCACAAGCATGTATCCCTGTCCAAAAAGCGCAGTGGGAAGTCCTCTTATCGGGCCGTGGTGAGGCGGACGCTGGCACTGATGTGATTAGCTATAATTGATCATGTCCTGTGAATCGTCCTTGTTAGCGATAATGTCAGATGATGGTCATGTCACAAAGCAGCCATCGCGACCACAGGTTTGTCACCCGGCTGTCAAGGCAAATGTCAGCCACGGTCACAATGCATAATTCACAACGTGCGGATTCAAATTATATCACAGAAAGTATCATTTCGCTATACAACCACACTGGGATTTTTTGTCTGTTTAGCGACAGGGGCCAGGTCTGCAAATTAGCCTCTGGCCATCAAGGCATATGGAGATGGCATCAGGTTACATCAAATGGAGCAATGATCTTTGAAGTTTATTTAAAAGGGACAGAACAGAGAAATACAATAAATGTCCAGTCAGTATATAAACTGTAAAGTCACATTGGGTAATCTGAGAAACATGTGGTCGAAAGTCGAAAGTCATATGTTGCAGAGTAATCTTACAATGCTTTTATATTATGATCATTGCATTTTGGTTGTGAGTTGTATGGAGCGGTGCAAGCCCCAGCACACATATGGGCTCGCTCAGATTATTGATGATAGCCGCTGTGGCCAGATTAAAGATGGGGTAACCAACTTTATTGTTGTTGTTTCATAAATACATTTGTCCCATCAGAAAGTGTCGTGGGAAAACTCTTTTTTTTAACAAACATGTACACAAAGTAGGGCTGGGCGATAAAACGATAACGATATATATCGCGA